CCCCAAAACCCCAAAACCCCAAAACCCCAAAACCCCACTCGATGTAACCTCAATTGAGAATTCTAATATTTTGTGAGTATTATATTACAAAGCATCGAGTGTAAACTCTATATTTGACTCTTGAAGGCATCTCCTAAGCTCTTAAGAAGATCTTTGCTCCTAAAATGGAGATCATTTAGCCCTATAACCTTCTTAATAGCTTTCTTTAAAGCTGAATTCTTGGAGTTGTGCCTGTTTTTATGACTTCCTCTTGTCTTTGTGAAAATCGTGTTTTTCCAAGAAGGCTCAAAATCACATTGTAAATGACACATAGGACCTTCTGTGTTTATGTTGTGATTAAGTATTTTTATGTCTATATTACTGTTATTAAAGATCTTAAATAGGGAATTCTTTCTAATTATTCTCTTAAAAATACTAATTTTTTGAAATAAACACTGGATGGTGAGCCTAGTGCTCAATTGTGTGTAGTCTTTGTTTCATCATGCTAGATGTTCTTCTAGTTAAGATCTCTCAGAAGATAAGTTATTTGAACTATGAACATTAAGCTTAAAATTTTGTTGTTGGTTTACATCTATTGATTAATGAAAAGATAAAAATGACGTTAGACTTAATTCTGTAGATTAATCGGTTGTAATCGGATGATATCAAAAATTTCTTACTTTCACTGTTAAGCTGCTCCTTTTTCCTAAGGAAGGGGAGTTTCACACAACCATGCTTTGATTCTTCAGTAGATGTAGCTTTGGTGCTCAGATGGTGACGTTTTCCTTCTTTATGGCATTGGTGAATGGATAGATTTCTTTTAAAGTTAGCATTCGCTTTATGAGAGGAAAGACTTCGTTCCTTCTTGTTTTGGGATTCTATAATCAGACTTAGGAAAAAAATTATTATCTGCGTTTGAGATTAAGCTCGCAGACTCCTTGTTGAGTCTTGAAATACACTTGAAGTAATTTATGAATGACGTACTAAATTTAAATTTTCTAGAATTGGTAAAAATTACAGCATACATAATTTACATACCAGTTTGTATCTGTGTGTAATTATTGGTATTTATAAATCCGATATGGACTTGTAGAGACACCAAAGGACTGTATAATTATCAAAGAAATATTTTAGTATCTAAATATGAATGGACAACCAAAGTTGTGACATTTTAAGTTTGTTAAAATGATGAATATTTTAGAAAAACACTCTTTTCTTATCCCGAGATAAATCTGAGCAACCTTTCTCTTCATACTTCAGCTTAATTTATTTAAGACCAATGAAAATTAAATGGCGACAATAATTATACCTCCTAAAATACAAATAATTTAGAAATCCAAGCTCAGAAGCCCCCTACAAAACCTAGCCACACCTCACCACTCCCCTTAAACCCCCTAAAATCCCCACTCCTCACAAATCCCCCCCAAAACCCACTCTACCCCAACCATTCCCCCAACAGTCCATCACCAAACCCCCATCCCAAACTCCCCCTCCAACCCCAACTCCCACACATTTCTCCCCCCAAACCACCCATTCAGCAGATTCTGACCTATACCTCTAAAATATGGGAATTTGTTAGAGAAGAAGGCTGAGAAAGGGAGCTTTAAGTGGGATGAAGGGGGTTGAGTGGGGATTTAGGGGTTGTGTAGGATTGGAGAGGGTGGGGGTTTAGAAGGGGGAGTAGTTTTGGGGGGGGAGATATTGGGGTTTTAAGTGGTGTGGTTGGGTTATTGGGGGGATTGTAGGAACTGATATGAGGTAATGGAGGATATTGGGTGATGTGAAGTTTTGAATTAGGGTCTTGGTTACTTTAATCACGAAATTAATTATTTTAGTTAAGTGAGGAAATAGTTTGTATTAAGAAATGTAAGATCATATAGAATACCATCAATAATCAAAACTAGATATAATGCTCTTATATTGGCAATACTCCATTTACAGCATGAATAATGCAGACAAATCGCATTTTGAGGAAAATTAAATGAGTTTTACTTTGAGTTTCGTCAAATACAAATCGATATCAGTTGAAAGAGAGATCAAGATTTCTGAGAGCAGATACATGGTCTTGCTTTAGTAGTTCTTGAAACTCCTTACTGAAGATGTGCTTAGGGTTTGAAAGTAGAGAGCGCTCCGCGCTCTTATTTCTCATGTATTTAGCCTTCAGTGGTAGGTTGGAAGGAAACTTCTTGTAAGGTTTCTTGGAACCTATAGATAAAATTAGTATCGCAACAATTATGTGAGCAATTGTATAAATCAAAATTCTCTTCTTACGTGTAAATAACTTATTTTCGGGTTGGCTCAAAGTGACTCCTGACATCTTGATAGAAGAACCCTTTTGATATACATCCAGGCATTGTGTAGATTTTGAGCGGGAGAACAATGAAAAGCGGGATCTTTTAATTTCCCCAATATTTTGGTAATATTTTTGAGAGTTTTGGGAGTTGTTCGCCATAATTTAAAAATTACATCTCAGTCTCACTTATATCTCATGGGGTTTTGGGGTTTTGGGGTTTTGGGG